GAAGCATGTGTATTAGTTCCATTTGGTTCCACTGCCCACACTGGGGGTAAGGGTGATTCACATGGTTTAAACAAGGGAAATATAATTTTCCTCCCATGGTAAAGAATATTTATACTTGAGAAGTCCTGGGCTGATATGGCAGCCCCATTGCTGTTATCGGGGACCCAGGTTCTTATTATACTCGAACCTACAAGTCTTTTATTCTCAAGGGCTCTCTATAGTTCCAGATGGCTGCTTGAGCTCCAGCTATCAGACCTGGTGAGCATATATTTATGAGTGAAAGAAGACAAGCACAAAGGAGTGCAGAGGGGTGGGCAAAAGTAGGTTTATAATTGTGAGTACATGAAACACAGAGTTTATGCTTATGTTATTATCTATTAATTATTGTATTATTTATCATTGGAACAACTGTAACCCCTATTTTTTTTGTTTTTTCAAATTTTATTAACTTATTTTTGTTACAGATGTTGCTCTATTTTCCGCCCGACCCCCTTGCATTGTTGTCCATGTCCATTGGATATGCATACATGCATTTAAGTTCTTTGGTTAGTCTCCTCCATCCCCCCCACTCTGCCTAAGGTTTGTCAGTCTGAACCATACTCCTTTCTATGTCACTGGGTCTATTTAGTTCATCAGTCCACACTGTTAATTATATTCCACAAATAAGTGAGGTCATGTGATATTTCTCTTTCTTTGATTGGCTTATTTCACTTAGCATAATACTCTCGAAGTTCCTCCATGTCGTCTTAAAGGATAATAGATCTTTCTTTCTTACAGCTGTATAATATTTCATTGTATACATGTACCACAGCTTTTTTACCCACTCATCTATTGACAGACACTTGGGATGTTTTCAGATCTTAGCAATTGTTTAAATAGTGCTGCTATGAACATAGGGGTACATATATTCTTTCTGATTGGTGTTTCAGGCTTTTTAGGATATATTTCTAGAAGTGGGAACACTGGGTCAAATGGCAATTCAATTTTTAATTTTTTGAGGAAACATCATAGTGTTTTCTATAGTGACTGCACCAGTCTGCATTCCCACCAGCAGTGTACTAGAGTCCCCTTTTCTCTACACCCTGCCAGCACTTGCTGTTTGATGATTTGTTGATGCAAGACATTCTGGCAAGTGTGAGGTGATACCTCATAGTCATTTTAACTAGCATCTCTCTGATGATTAGTGACATTGAGTATTTGTTCATATGTCTTTTAGCCATTTGTATGTCTTTTTTGGATAGGAGTCTATTTAGGTCCTCTGCCCATTTTTTGTTTGGGTTCTTTGTCTTCCTTTCATTGAGTTGTATGAGCACTCTGTATATTTTGGAAATTTCCTCTTACCTGATGTATAATTGGCAATTACGGTCTCCCATACAGTGGGTTCCCTTTTCATTGTGATGGTTGTTTCCTTTGTTGTGCAGAAGCTTTTTAGTTTGATATAGTCCAGTGTGTTCATATTTTCCCATGTTTCTGTTGCTTTAGGTGATGTATCAGTGAAAATTCTGCTGCATATGACATCTGAAATTTTGTTGCCTACATTTTCTTCAGGATTTTTATGGACTCACAAGTCACATTTAAATCTTTTATCCATTTTGAGTTTATTTTTGTGTATGGTGTAAGTTGATGGTCTAGTTTCATTTTTTTTTTTTTTGCATGTAGTTGTCCAATTTTCCCAGCGCCATTTGTTAAAGAGGCTGTCTTTACTCCACTAGATGCTCTTGCCACCTTTGTCAAATATTAATTGAGCATAATGTTTGGAGTCAATTTCCATGTTCTTTGTTCTGTTCCATTGATTTATATGCCTGTTCTTATGCCAGTAGCAGGCTGTTTTGATTACAGTAGCTTTGTAGTATAACCTGATATGTAGTATTATGATCCCACCTACTTTGTTCTTCTTTTTCAATATTGCTGTGGCTATTCAGGGTCTTTTTTTGGTTCCATATGAACTTATGAAGTATTGGTTCTAGTTCTGGGAGATATGTCATTGGTATTTTGATGGGAATTGCATTGAATCTATAGATTGCTTGGATGGTATGGACATTTTAATGATGTTAATTCTTCCAATCCATGAACAAGGTATGTGCTTCCATTTTTTTTTTTTTTTTTATATCTTCTTCTATTTTTTTTCCAGTGTTCTGTAGCTTTCTGCAAATAGGTTCTTTACTTCTTTGCTTAAGCTTATTCCTAGGTATCTTAAATTTTTTGCCATGATGGTAAAGGGGATTGATTTTTTGGTTTCTCTTTCTGTGAGTTCATCATTGGTATATAAGAATGCCATCGATTTCTTGAAGTTAATTTTGTATCCTGCTACTTTGGCAAATTCACTTATTAAGTCTAGTAGATTTTTCATGGAGTCTTTAGGGTTTTCTATGTACAATATCAGGTCATCTTCAAATAATTACAGTTTCACTTCCTTCTTTCCGATTTGGATCCCTTTTTATGTTTTTTTCATGTCTGATTGCTGTGGTTAAGACTTCCAGTACTATGTTAAATATGAGTGGTGAAAGTGGGCATCCCTGTCTTGTTCCTGTTCTTAAGGGAAATGTTTTTAGTTTTTTCCCATTGAGTATTATGTTGGCTGTAGGTTTTTCATATATGGTCTTTATTATCTCAAGATATGATCACTCTATTTTCACATTGCTGCACGTTTTTATCAGAAATGGATGCTGGATTTTGTCTTATGCTTTCTCAGCATCTACTGATATGATCATATGGTTTTTATCTTTTATTTTGTTTATGTGGTGTATCACATTTATTGATTTGAGAATATTGTACCAGCCTTGCATCCCTGGGATGAATCCCACTTGGTCATGGTGAATACTTTTTTAAATGTATTTGTGGATCTGATTTGCTAGTATTTTGTTCAGAATTTTGGCATCCATGTTCATCAGGGATATTGGTCTGTAGTTTTTTTCTTTGTAATGTCTTTATCTGGTTTTGGAATTAGAGTGATGCTCGCCTCATAACATGTGATTGAAAGTCTTTCTTCTTAAAGTTTTTTGAAATTGTTTTTTTAAATTAATTAATTATTTCATTAATTTATTTTTGTTACAGGTGTTTCTCCTTTTTTTCCCCATTGACACCTTCTTCCCTATCCCCCCCACCCCATCCCCAGCTTTGTTGTTCGTGTCCATTGGTTATGCGTACATGCATATGAGTTCTGTGGTTTATCTCTTCCCTTCACCCCACCACCCCCTCTTCTGAGGGTTGTCAGTCTGTAGCCTCCTTCCACGTCCCTGGGTCAACCCTATTCCTCTGACTGTTATGTTCATTATATTCCACAAATAAGTGAGATCATGTGGTATTTGTCTTTCTCTGCTTGGCTTGTTTCTCTTAAGATAATACTTTCCAGTTCCCTCCATATTGTCTCGAAGGATAAGAAATTTTTCTTTCTTACAGCTGTATAGTACTCCATTGTGTATATGTACCACAGCTTTTTGATCCACTCATCTATTGATGAACACTTGGGCTGTTTCCAGATCTTAGCTACTGTAAATAGTGCTGCTATGAACATCGGGGTACATATACTCTTTATGGTTGGTGTTTCAGACTTCTTAGTGTATATTACTAGAAGTGAGATCACTGGGTCAAATGGAAGTTCAATTTGTAATTTTTGAGGTAACACCATATTGTTTTCCATAGTGGCTGCACCAGTCCAAATTCCCACCAGTAGTGTACTAGAGTCCCCTTTCTACATACCCTCACCAGGACTTGTTGTTTGATGATTTGTTGATGGCGACCATTCTGATAAGTATGAGGTGATACTTCATTGTTGTTTTAATTTGCATCTCTCTGATGATTGAATTTTTTGAAATAGTTTGAGGAGAATTGATGTTAGTTCTTCTTTGACTGTCCGACAATATTCCCCCATCAAGCCATCCTTACCTGGACTTTTGTTTGCTAAGAGAGTCTTGATTACATCTTTAGTTTTCTTAGTTGTTATTGGTCTCTTCAAGTTTTCTATCTCTTCCCAGTTCAGTTTTGGGAGACTGTTTCTAGAAATTTGTCCATTTTGCTTAGATCGTCTAATTTGTTGCCATATAATTGTTCGTAGTATTTCTTCATGATCCTTTGTATTTCTGTGGTGTCAGTTGTTACTTCTCTTTCATTTCTGATTTTGGGCAGTTGGGTTCTCTCTTTGTTTCTTGGTGAGTCTGGCTAAGGGTCCATCAATCTTGTTTATCTTTTAAAAAAACCAGCTCTTTTTTTCATTGACCCTTTAAATTTTTTTTTATTTTTTATCTTTATGTTGTCTATTTCTGCTCTGATCTTTCCTATCTCCTTCCTTCTACTTGCTCTGGGGTTTTATTTTTGTTTGCTTTCTAGTTCTTTAAGTTGTGTGGTTAGATAGCCAATTAGAATTATTCCTTGTTTCTTGAGGTAGGCCTGTAGTGTTATGAAATTCCCTCTCAGAACTGCTTTCCCTGCATCCCATAGATTTTGTGTTGTTATGTGTTCATTTTCATTGGTTTCCAGGAAGTTTTTAATCTCTTCCTTGATCTCCTCAGTAACCAATTCATTGTTTAATAACATGCTATTTATCTTCCATGTGTTCAAATATCTTTGCATGTTCTTATTGCAATTGATTTCTAGTTTCATGCCATTGTGATCTGAGAAGATGCTTGATATGATTTCAATCTTATTGAACTTGTATTGACTTAGTTTGTGTCCTAACATGTGGTCTATCTTTGAGAATGTCCCATGTGCACTTAAGAAGAATGTGAATTCTTCAGTTTTGGGGTGTAATTTTCTGTAGATATCTATTAAATCCATTTGATGTAGTACTTTATTTAGAGTCTCTGTTTCCTTGTTAATTTTTTGTCTAGAGGATCTATCCAGTGATGTCAGTGAGGTGTTGAAATCCCTTGCTATGATTGTATTGCTGTGGATTTCTCCTTTGAAATCCTACAGAAGATTTCTCTTTTCTTTCTTTCTTTCTTTCTTTCTTTCTTTCTTTCTTTCTTTCTTTCTTTCTTTCTTTCTTTCTTTCTTTCTTTCTTTCGGAGAGAACGTGAATGCTGTCCCACACTACCACAAATTATACAATCAGTTTCTCACATTTGGGGAAATGGCAGGGGTCAGCACATTGGAGTGCAATTGATAAGCCTCGCCTTGGGGAAACCACCTTTGTGATCATGGTATTTCCCCTGCCAGGTAAATATAGAAGATTTCTAATATATTTGGTGCTCCTATATATCTTACTGTTGGATTGGTCCTTTTGATATTATGTAGTGGCCTTCTTTGTTTCTAGTTATGGCCTTCATTTTGAAATGTATTTTATCAGATATTGCTACACCATCCTTTTTTTCTTCCCCTTTGCTTGGAAGATTTTTTTCTATTTGTTTATTTTCAACCTATGTGGGTCTTTTGTTGTGAGGTGGGTCTCTTGTTAACAACACATATGAGTCATGTTTTCTTATCCAATCAGCTACTCTGTGTCTTTTATCAGGGCATTCAGTCCATTTACATTTAAGGTGATTATTGATATGTACTTATTTATTCCCATTTTTGTTTAGTGTGGTTATATTTTTCTTCCTATTTCTTCTGCTAATTATAGCAGTCCTTTTAACATTTCTTGCAGTGCTGATTTGGTGTTAATATATTTCCTTAGCTTTTTTTTTCATCTGGGAAGCTCTTTATTTTACCTTCTATTCTGAATGATAGCCTTGCTGGATAGAGTAGTCTTGGATTTAGATCCTTGTTTTTCATGACCTCAATTACTTCATACCATTCCCTTCTGACCTATAGTATTTCTGATGAGAAGTCAGCTGATAACCTTATGGGGGTTCCTTTGTAGGTAACCTGTAACTTATCTCTTGCTGCTTTTAAGATTCTCTGTCTTTAATTTTTGGCATTTTAATAACTATGTGTCTTGGAGTGGGCCTGTTTGTGTTCTCCTTACTTGGAGCTTTCTTTGCTTCTTGAACTTGAATTCCGTGCACTGCCAGCCCACCCTTTCATGCCTCCACAGACCTACCAAGCTCAATTCAGTGTCCTTTTTTCCTGTCTGTGGTTACATGGTCCTCTCCAGCTGCTTTTCTGTTGCTTTTTCCCAGTTATTTGTCTTTATTTTAGTTGTACTTCCAGTTTGGTCTTGGGAGATGACCTGTGTAGCTTCCATTCACTCTGCCACCATTTTGGAATCCCCGTGTCAGGTGCCATGTGTGCTCTTCATGCCAGTTACCCAGTGCATGGAGCCCCAGAGAGGTCTTTAGGTCCTCTTCAGCACCCCTGAGGAAAGTAGAGGCAGCAGCCCCCATCACCACCCCCTGCCACTTCCCCAGATCCACACCCCACTTGCTGCACTTCAGGCTTCAAAAGTAGACTCATCGTCTCCAGGTGCACCACTGGCTGGCAGTGAACAGGTTCGTTCCCAGTGGGGGCAACAGTCAAGGAGGCAAAATTGGGTGCCCTAACCAGCTCTGCAAGGAAGCCCCTGGTCTGGGTCACAAGGACTGGGCCTCTTCTGTGGAGGAGAGGTGGAGAATGGGGCCACTGCAGGGTCCGTGGTTGGTCAGGGGTTGCGGAGCCCACCTGCAGTGGGAGGGCAGCACACAGGAGCCCGCGCAGCAAAAGCAGCTGCCTCTGGCATCACCTTCCAGGTTGTAAACCTACTTTTCCCACCTTTTATGTTGTATTTGGCAGTTACCAATGTATTACCTCTCAGCTACAAAACTACTCTTTTTTTTTTCCCCGCTTTGTGATCCTGATACTTAACTCTGTAAACATTACTTCTTGTCAGTGTATTCAATATTGGAGTTACCAATAAATGGTTTTTCCCAGGTTAGGTGGCTTAGTTGGTGGAAGTTTCCTGTACACCAAAAAGATTGCAGATTTGATCCCCAATCAGGACATGTGCAGGAGGCAACCATTCAATCTCTCTCTCTTTCTCTCTCTTTTTCTCTGTCTCTCTCTCTAATCAACAACAACAAAAAAATCCTCAGGTGAGGATTTTAAAAAATAAATAAATAGATGGTTTTGCAGGGACACTGCAAATATATAGCAAGAAGAAGGGGTTTCCCTTCCTGGTTCCAAAATATTGTTTCTGGTATGCATGACAGCTATCAAATTGGCATGTGAGTGGCCTGGCAGTGCTTACATCAGCAGTACCCACAGACCCATGCAGGCCTGTTCATCCAAGCAAGTCTCCACAGTAGGCAGGCCATATCTATGTACCAGCTGCAGCCCATAATTTACAGCAAGGTTCTTATTCACCAGAGGCTTCCTGTTCCTGTGAGAGCTAAGCCCTCTTCAACCTGGTCTGAATCTCAGGGGTAAGGGTGGAGCCCTCTTTAAATTTCTAGTGTCTTACTTGATCATGTGAAGCCCTAGAAATAGTAGCTAATTCTATAGATGTATCTGCTACTTCTATACTGCTCAGAATCCTCCTTTCCCCATTTCGCGGTTAATGACCTTTTACTAGTTAACAATTCACTTTTTAAAATATATTTTTGTTGATTTTTTTGGATAGAGAGGAAGGGAGAGGGGGAGAGAGATAGAAACATTGATGAGAGAGAAACAACGATTGGCTGCATCCTGCACACCCCACAAGCCCGCAACCTGGACATGTACCCTGACCGGGAATCAAACCCACAACCTCTTGGTGCATGGGACAATACTCAATCCACTGAGCTACACTGGCCAGGCAATAATTCTTTATATTAAGATTCCCCTGTTGAAATTATTGGTGTACTTTCTATCTCCTGACAAGAGTCTGTCTGATTGACTAATTCCACTAATATGAAGTTCAAAAATCAGGCAGAACTAATCTCCAAGGGTAGTGATAACCTCTGGGAAGGTATTGACTGAGATGGTCATAAGGGACCACTCTGGAGTGTTGGGGATATTTTATATTTTAATCTAGGTAATGGTTTTTTGAGTGTATGTACATGTAAAAATCCATTGACCTATATGATTAAAATGTGTACATTTTACTCCATGTAAATTATTCTTCAATCAAAATATTGGTGTGGGGGTGGGTATGTGATCTAGATTGTAAACTAGAAGAGGAGGTAAAGAAATGGATAAAAAGTGAACCTTTTGGCCTGGCTGGTGTGGTTCAGTGGTTGAGTGTTGACCCATGCACCAAGAGGTCTCTGGTTTGATTCCCAGTTAGGGCACATGCCCAGGTTGTGGGCTAAATTCCCAGTGCATGCAGGAGGCAGCCAATCAATGTTCTCTCTCATCAATGTTTCTGTCTCTCTCTCCCTCTCCCTTCCTCTTTCTCTGAAATCAGTAAAGGAAAATAAATTTAATAAAAGTAAAGTGAACCCTTTGTAGCTGAACCAACCCCTTTAAGCAGTTTCCTAGTAACATCACACTGCAGGTACTCTCAATGTCATGGGCCTGAACAAAAACATATGAACATAAGTAGCTACACAGTATACTTAGCTCAAAATCAGGGTTCTGTTAGCTAAGGAAGGAGAGTGGATGCTGGTGTAGGGAACTGGTAATTGTCACAACAGGTACTATATTAAATTTACTAAATATTTATTCAGTAATAGCCATTGTATTAAGCCCTGAAGATATAGCTATAAACAAACTGTTAAGGCCCCTGCCCTCATGAAACTTACATTCTAGCTAGCACTTGGTTCTCAGTAGATTCAAAAAATGTTTTTTGAATAAATATGTGAATGATAATGAAATGCATGAATATGTGAATGAGGGAATAAATAATAGCTGTTTAGATGGGAATAAATTACTTAAGAAACCACAATCACAGCTATAATCTTGAGAAGGCAGTCTGCCCCAGCAGAAAGAAATGAGCTATCTCTGAAAGACTGGCAGAGCTGGTACATCATCCAAGAAAAACTTGAGAAAGCTGCAAATCTCCACTCGGAGGGACTTCTCTGTGGAGACGAGAGTGGAAGTCCTGCTAGTGGGAGTACAGATCAGTGTGTTGTTTCTTCCAGAGCCCATTTGTCTCTGCTATATCTCCCAGACATATGGTTTTTGAATATAATGATTTTTAAAAAGCTTCCACTAAAAAGCACAGTCGCCAGATTGTGGGGAAGCACATGCTGCCCGTGAAAGATAAGGAAGCATTTCTAAACCCAGGCTTGTCAGGGAAGAGTGCGCCCGGAACGAGGTCTCTGAGCTCTGAGCTGGGGCTCAGCAGCAGAAGGGCCTGCCGAGACAGCTTCGAGGCTTTTGTCACTGGAAAGCACACACACAAAAGTCCTTTAATTTAGAGAGCTGACTTGGATAAGACCCGCCGCCTACCATAGAGTGAAACATGAAGAAGACCACAGATTGTGGGCTTGGGGCTATCACTAGAGAGAGCAGGGTGGACTCAGAATTTTGAGGGAAGAATGTTCATATGATAATGGGAGACTAGAGAAGGAGTCCAAGTCATAATTGTTTCAAATGTTATAAGTACATAAATCAAGAGAAAAGCCTTAATGGTGGTTATCTTGAAGGTGTTAGGATGTGAATATGTAGACACTGGCTACCATGTTATTTAATAATAACACTGAAATCCTGTTTGGGGGGCTATTTTTTATAAATTAAACAGAGGGTTTAAAAATAATAATAATTTTAAAAAGCCCAGGAAGACAGGGCTTTTGCTCCCTTAATGTATAGCTGTGAGTGATGCCCCATCCAATTCAAGTTCTGTTGACCATAAAATGGAGGTTTCCAATACATAACATGAATGTTTGCCAAAACACTGAAACTACTTGGAGGATGAGTAAACTTTTTCTGGCAGACAGGTATTCATCTTTGAAAAAGTTTACAAAAAATCATAAATCATAAATTGCATTACCATTTTCCATCTCAAAATCAGAAGTTCTAATAGGCATTAGCTATTAAACAGGTGTTTTGCATATAATTTTTATTCAAACCAGAAAGTTTTGTGTGTTTAGTCAATTCATATTTATTTATTTATCCTCACCCGAGGACATTTTTCCATTTTTTATTCAGATAGAGTGGGAGGAAAGAGAGGAAGAGAGAGAGAAAGAAGCATCGACGTAAAAGGGACACATGGAGTGGCTGCCACCCACACGACCCAACCAGGGCCGGGGACAAACTGCAACCGAGGTACGTGCCCTCAGCGGGAACTGAACCGGGTCTCTCTGGACCACAGGCCGACATTCTAACTGCTGAGCCAAACCGGCCAGGGCTAGTCAACTCGTTTTATAATGAGATGGAAATGTTCCTATAATGATGTTCAACTGCAATGGAAGGGTTAGTAATAGGATGCTACTGTATAAAGAATACTGTGTATTTAATTTTTCACTTATTTGCACATACCCTGACTCATTCTAAAAAAGGAATTTGAAGTAATTTGAAGCAGAAACACAACAACATGAAAATGTAAATAAAAAGGGAAAACAAAAACAGTACCAGGGCGAAGAGCAGGTCACGACATGGAGGAAAATAAAATAAATGCATTCTGTCAGGGATTACACAGTTGCCATCATTTATTTCTAAATTTATATCTGAACTTTCCTGAAACAAAGACAAAAAAAGAAGATGGATAGTTACATGGCTCTCCTTATGTAAAGGGAAAAATAAAACCCTACTATTTCTGCAGAAGGATGTGAAATCCAATGGCCTGAGTTATAGAATGAGTTATATAATCTTAGGTAAGCAATCCGAATTTCTGGGTACCTCTGATTCTTTAAAAATGAGGAGCTAGGGGACTTTACAAGGTGATTTCTTCTGTCACCAGCTGCAAGGGAATTCTCAGAGCTTCCCAGGTGGGAATATATTAGGGAGCAGCTAGGGACCAATATCTTTGACGTGAGGGAGAAAGCAGGAGTGAGCAGAGGAATAAGCTGAGCTGTGAAGCAGGCCCAGTGTTAGCCTTAGTTGACTCATGGGATCTCAGGAGCTAATGCAGCCCAGTGGTGTCAGCTCGTGTTGAACCAACATGGCTAGAATGTCCACTTCAGTCAGTCTCTGGAGGTAGGCCACTCTAGAAAGTGACCCTGGTCAGTCGGCTCTCTAGGGCAGAAGCAAGCCCTAAAGAGGATAGTATTTGAAGACACTTCCAGCAGCTGGAGCAACAAGTTCTTCTCTGAAGAGGGATCTGGTTGGGGCATCTCCATATCCAACAGACAGGTGAACATCTAAGTCACAAAGTACGCACGGCTGGGTGCAGTATAGTATTCCTACCCTCCACTTTGTTACACTGAATCACTGTAATTTAAGACATGTCTCTTACAGCAGCTAGTATTGTCTTATTTAACACACATATTTACACACGCCTAACACTTGAATAAGACAAAGGGTGTGGTGCCCGTGTACTAGACTGAATACTCCTACTTCACTAATGTGAGAGTTGATGCAGGGTCTGGACATAGCTCTGAAGTGGAGAGAATTTGTCATCATGGCTTCAACTTACTGTGACTTACTCAGCTTCTCATTCCTACTGTCAGCCACTCTACAACTTCATAAACCCAATGAGCCCAATCTGTATCTCCATGCTCCTCACACTTGCTCCTTTTGAAAACCTTTTAGTATCTTTGTAAACTCAGCTCTACTTATAGTAAAAGTTATAGAAGGATCATACATACACTGAGAGAAATGAAGAAAATTTGGGGATATTGTAAACTCAAACAATCCACCAAGACGGTATGTAGATATATTTTAGAGTCAGCCCTCTTTTCAACTACATGACTCCAAGCCTGAGTCCTGTGTGGCTTTGGCTACAGCAGGAATTAAAATGTGGTCACTCACAGGGCTCTCTCTGAGCCATCTCATAGGCATTCTCAAGCAATTCTTTCAGGCTCTCTGCTTTAACCCTCTCACCTCTGGTGTCCACTAAGAACCCACATGAAGCATAGTCACACCAAAGAGGCTGTCATCCATGGCTGTCTCTGATAGCTGGGAGAGATGACAAACCATCTTCTTTAACTCGTTTTGTTAGTGCAAGAGTATATACTCTTTCCTTCTCTTTCCTCTAAAATCCCTCCTTCATCCACATTGATTCCTCATAGCAGCCCTGCTAGTTCATGTCCAAACATATCTAAATCCAAATTTAGAGTTAAGTTGAGACTTCCACTACATATACAAGGAAGTAGATTTAAGAAACAAGGTAGTAATAATAATGACATTATCAGTATAATAACCGCTAATATTTACTGAGAGCTATGTGCCAACCACTGTGCTAAATGCTTCTTAAACGTTTTCTGATTTAACTACTATCAACCCCATATAAAAGATATTCTTTTTACCATTAAAAAAGGTAAACTAAGGTACAGAGAATTAAATAACATGCCTAAGCTCACAAATCTAGAAATTTGCTGAGCCTAGATATAAACCTAAAGCTTAAGTATGCAACCACTGACTTCTGAAGATAACAAGGCATTGATGACCTTTAAGTTAGCATGTCCTGATTAAAAAACTTGAGCATTCATTACATGTGATTAGACAGAATGTGTACAGCTTGATTAACCATTCAGATTTTGTACTATCTTAAACAAATATGAAAAAAAATGACCCTACAAAATGAAACTAATAAGGAATTCTACCAAGGGCAGAACCTCCTTCTGGGTGGGCTGCTGTGTGATTAAATGCTTCAGTATTCACCCATTGCCTTCACTCCCTCCCTCCCTCGGACAACACCATTAATATCCACGGTACTGGTCAGCTTTTGGTGCAGCAGCAAACAACTTTCCCAAATCAATGGCTTATAAAGCAAGTATTTATTTCTTGTTCACATTACATGAGGGTTGCAGGTTGGTTATAGTTGGGCTGGGCTTTATATGTTTTCTCATTTACGGACCCATAATAATTAGCTACCATCTGGCTTCATAGTAGAAGACAGAAGCAAAAGAAGCTGAGCCATTTCATGCACATTAACTAAAGCTTTTGTTCAGAGGTGTTATTTGTTGTGCTTGCTAACAATCCATTGGCTTAAGCAAGGGAGTATACTTTGTCTACCATGCTGGTGGTGGACATGACAGGGTGGGGAGGGAATGAATAATCTTGAGCAAATAATTAGATCAATCTATACTATCTGGGTCTGCTGCAATTTCTCTGATCATACCTACCCAGTCACAGAACCTGTTCTTCTCTGTCTGACCCTCTGAGAACGCGGTGTGTGCTAGACTTCTGTTCCTCTGCCTTTTCCTTTCCCTCTGCTGTTGTCCTTAAGCCAGCCTTTTATACCCTCCCCCTTGGTTTCAGGCACATCATTTCCCTATATATTGAATATCTCTACCTAAATATCTTTCCAGTACCACAAACTTAGCTTATGCAAGACTAAATTTATTATGTATCCTGCTATGTCCTAAATGTGTGCGTTCCTCATATGCTGTGAGTTAGCTACTACAACCCTTAGTTCCTCTATGTATTAACCTTAAATACAAAGCCCAGGCTTCTTTTTCTCCTTCTCTCCCTAAATTCAAGCCCCACAGTAGTCACCTTTCAGTCTCCTTTCTGTTTGATTGCTCGGTCCCTATTGCCCTGTCCACAGGGGCCAATGTAATAGGTTCCCAACCAGTCTCCCCTTCTCCAGCTTCTCCCAATTCCAATTCCTTCTCCTCAGATTTCGCAGAGCGATCTTCCTAAAACAAAATAATCATGACATTTTTCAGGTGACAGTTTTTCAGTAACCCTCTGTCACTGTAGTCCAAACTGTTGTAACCATAGCAGTACACATAGGTGACTTATGAACTGACTAGAATAAAAAGGGTGGAAATTTGTATACTCTTTTCTCTTCATTTAGCCACAGAAGCTCTATTTTATTGCTAGGCATGTCACCCTATTTGAATAAAGGATTCTTGCAATATCAAGCCAACAGATAATCTCTCACCTGTAGGATATAAGCATATTTCTTGAAGGTGTGCACTTCACAGCTGGGCTTCCGTCTGTTCTAACTATATGCCCGGCATGGGTTCTCCACAAATCCCACCTCACATACACTCTCCTGTCCAGGACAACAGCCACATGGAAATACTCAATGTCGTTCTCTTAACCAGGAGTGTTCTCTCCTTTTTTTAAAATTGCACCAAGACAACTCCTGCTCTGAACTTTAAGATGCAACCTCAAAGGAAGCCTCTACCCTCCCCATTCTCACCACAACCACCCAGGAGGTTACCTGTCTCCATTTTGGTTCTTGTAAACCCCTTTTAAATAGCACCATTTACTTTGCATTATTGTTCATTTCCTTTGCCTGTCTTCCCAAGTAATAGAAAGTTTCTTAAAGATTAAGTCATGTCTTATTTGTCTTTATATTCTTGGTAACCTGCATACTTTCTAGTACAGAACAAGTGCTCAAATAGTATTTTTATGAGACTGAATTAAAGCATTAATAAAAGCAAAGCACCCCATCCTCAACCAGAGCCCTAGAAAACTAATTGCTATTTGGATTCTGTAGAGGATATTTGCCATAGTTAAAATCACTGAATAGGTTTTGAATTTACTTTCTAGAAGAAAGTAACTCTTCTTGTCTCTCTTTCAGTTAGAATATGAGCGTGAAACCCTGACTCTACCTGTTAGATAACTTCTCATGAAACTGAGTCAGAAGTGAGTTATGTAAGGAAACATGGTTTCATCTTTGGGTGAGAGAGTGGCTGAAGCACGAATCTTCTTAAGAATGAAGGTAGTGAAGCCACTGATATCTCTTACCTGGAACTATGGTTATGTATTAGAGCAATAGTAATAAAAGAGTTTTCCCTAATGCAGCATCCATGGATTTGAGCTTGATTCTTTGCCCCTTCCAAAGTTTCTGTTTAATATGCTTAATAATCATATTGTGCTCTATATAGTTGTTAAAATTAATCAATAGAAAAAGCCTAGTTCTAAGAGATCATTTCTCACCGTCCAGATTGTAATGTTTGTAAAATTGTACGTCCTCTTCTCTGGTCACATCCTTCCCAGTTTCCAAAATCCTTCCATGGAGGTTTCTGGAAGTTGTGGTCCATAATCAGCAAAATCCCCTATATTTTCAATATGGCTGTCTATATATTCTCTGTGCTTTCTTGTTTTAATTGAAAACTGGCTTTTCCCTGAGACATTGCTTCCTCTGAAGCCATCTTCCATACTGAAGGTGTCCTCCTTGTTCTTCATGCATGTTTCTAGACCATTGTCTCTTCCTTATCCCAAAACCCACCTCCGTTTTGTGCTAGTGTCATCACCATCACTTCTCCCAAATAACTTCTGTCACAATATCTAGTTGCTTTAATACACATATGGCAGTTCTCTCATTGATCTGGCCTCTTACTTTATTAACTCTTCCAGTAATCTGATCATCTAGCCATTATTAGCCACTGACTCCCACTCTTATACTTAGACATTTTCTTGACCAAAAATAGCATACTCTCCATTATTTAATTTCAAGTATCCTGCTCTCCAACAACCATACCCTACTTTTGTGACTTGTCCTCTCTAAGACCCCAGCCCCCCAAATTATTTAAACCTACCCTAGCCCTTAATCCATTGATCTTACCACATTTTGCTGTTTCTCATCTTCATAATCTCATTATTTTTCTATTTTTCTAGTTTTTATTCCATAGTTTATTATTATAATCACCTTCTTGCACACACCTCAATACTGTTTTCTTTCTCTCTCCATTGTATTCTCCTTGAAGAATCCAGTTACATTGGAATACCAGCTTGGGCAGGTGAACATGGCTGAAGAAGGACATAGGGTTATTCCAACTTACTTTAAATCTATGATCCCTCACTTCAAGTGGGCCTTGAGAGATGTGCAGATACTTTATATTTTTCCCAAAACTTTTCACTCATTGGCTCCCCTAGACATTTACTTCACACCTATTTTCCATTCCTTAAATGTTTAATAAACCCCCATCACTTTCAGTTGATAACCATAATTTCTATTTTACTGAGAAAATGTAAATATGAAAATGGGTTCCCACACACTACTACATACACTAACATCTGCCTACCCTCTTCCATCTATACCCACATGCTTACCTCCTATTCTGTTAGTATTGATATCTGTCTGAGGTCAACTCTTCCATCAGTGCAACTGATCTCGCCTCCTCTCACATAATCAAGAGCATCTTCAGCAATTATCCCATCTCCTAGATTATCATTTATGCCCCTCCCCCCAGTGTATCATTCCCATTTGGCACTTAAAAATTTGGTTCATCTTCTCTCATCTTTACAAATCCATCCCTTATTCCATGATCTTCCATGACCATTAACTTTTTTTAAGCAAAACTCATTAGAAGAGTCTTCTAATTCACTGTCTCTTTGGTTCCTCCTTACATTACTTCTAACCTTACTGCAAGTTATCATTCTCACCGATCCCCAAGTGACTCTGTCCATTACCAAGACTTACCCCTTGCAAAATCCAAAAGCATTTTGTATTCCTCGTGCTCTTTAATTGGTCAGTAGCACTTGTCATGTTGATAACTTCTTCCTTTTTTTTTTATCCTCACCTGAGGACATTTTTGCATTTATTTTCACATAGAATGGGAGGGAGAGAGGGAGGAAGAAAGAGAGAAACATCGATGTGAGAGAGACACATTGAGTGGTTGCCACCCACACTATCCCAACCAGGCTTGGAAAAAACTGCAACTGAGGTACGTGCCCCTCACAGGAACCAAACCCGGGTCGAACCTGGGCCTCTCTGCACCACAGGCTGATGCTCTAACCACTGAGCCAAACCGGCCGTGGTGATAACTTCTTCCTTTATGAAACACACTCTTCATTTGGCTGCAGGCACATCACACTCACTTCTCTTTTACCTGATTGGCCCTTTTTTCTCAGTTTCATTTCTGATTCTCCTTCAACTCCCTGATATGTAAACATGTAGAATTTTCCAGACTGTCTTTGGATCACCACTCTTCTCTATCTTAACTTCTCCCAGGTGATTGCCCCTAATCTGATGGCTTTCAATAACACTTTTCAAAAAAATTAAAAGTTTTATTATATCCTTCAAGACCCAAGATTATCTGGCCCCTGTTACTTTTCTACCATCCTCCATATTTCCTGTTCCAGTTCTCACTCAGAAGTCGTTCGTTGAACATGACATGCATGCTCTCACCTTTGCACTAACTGTTTATTCAGTCTCAAAATATCTTCATCCAATGTGCACGTGGCTGCTGCCCTCACTTCTCTGTTGTCAGTGATCAAATATTACCTTATCATAATGTTTTTCCTAAATACCCAATGTAAAGTACAATACAACCCAACCCTTATCATTTTTTATATGGATGTGGTCTTTATTATACATATTAATATCTACATATTTTATTTTATTTATTTAATTAATCACCTGTTGTCTCCTTCCCTAAGGGTAGGGTATACACCTGTTATGTAACTCCTTTATTCCTAACTCCTAGAACAGTGTTAGGCATGGAAAATATTTGTATAACTATATATATATATATATATATATATATATATATATTAATTATACATTTCTTTTCTGCTTAAACAGTTTTGAGTACATTCTGTTTTATGCTCATGAACAGGATGGTACTGGTGGCTATTATCCTTGATGCTTCTATCTCCTGGAAATACAGGCTGCCTGCCTTTAACTGTTTGAGATTCTATCTGATTCTATTCCTCAACTCATATTAGTAGAGCTATTTCTGGGTGCTTAATCTAAAAGAGGTGCCCTGAAATTTCTAAACAAAGGTGAGGGGCATTTTTCAATGACAAATCCATACAAATATGGAAACATCCAATATTAAACACAAACCCTTTAAAACTAAATAAGAATAATTGATTGAAATCACAGCTATATAGTTTACTCGCAAAAATGAAAGCTATAGTGTTGATCTTCACAGTGTCTGTTTTTTAGACAATTTTTCAGAGATAGCTGACTGCTCTCTTGAGGAATCATTGGGGCACAATAAGATCATCTAGATTTTTGATTCAGTGCACTTCCATTAAGTTCTAAGAATAACTCAGCCTATCCATAAAATCAAGTGTACATGCTAGCTTTCTAGAAAAATACTTGAAACAACCTCTTCCACTCTTCTCCTTTTTCTCTTATACTCCTGTATCTAGCTTTAGTGCTTTCTCTAGCCCTCTGGGAGTTAGTGCATTTCCTTCTAGACTGAGCTATCTAATGTGGTAGCCACTACCTACATGTGGCTATTTAAATTATAATTAATTACAAGCAAATAATTAAAAATTCAATATTTTAGTTGCATTAGTCACATTTCAAGAGCTCAGCAGCCACGTGTCACTAGTGACTACTGCACTGGACAGTACTGAGTACTACAGACATTTCCATCATCCAGAAGTCCCTGGAGAGTACTTCTCCAGACCCTCAGGATCCCCTTCTAGAATCCTGATTTTTTTGCCTGTTCACTCTTCAGTCTTCACCTGAGATTACAGTTCTCATTCCACTTCAGCTTCTGGAACCATAATCCTGAGAGCTTCACCAACCCTTAGTCATAACAAGGTATCTATTAGATATTCCAAATCTGCCTTAGATCTTCACTTACATTAAGCTGGTGATGATGTTAAAGTCATAGTTTGCAAGGGAACACTGAGAAGTTAGAACCTGAAGGGAATCTGCTATATAGGAGAATGGGCACAACACCAAGATCAGTAGTAAACTCCAGTGAAACCACGCAGGTAACAACACCTCAGGGTGGGAGAGAGACTAATCAAGAAAAGGGAAAACAACATGTAATGGTTCTCTTCCTTGTCATCACCTGACGTGGTGGGAACTTGACTCACAGAATCGCAGGTTTTTCTCACATCTAGACTGTGTACAGTCCACCTGTTGTGCTATGGCAGTAGGATTGACAGGAGGAGGGGAAAACAAACAAACAAAGAAACAGTAGTGAAGCAGGGACATTCCTTGGGCAAAACCCTGGGTGTCGGTTTGGACTGGGTCCCTGCTCCTCACCACCAAGTCAGGGAAGGGGAGAATATGAGGAATATAACATAAGATAAACTCATCCCTGGGCTAGAGAGCTAGAGCTACTGAGTAAGTGTTTAAAATTTCTGCTTAAAAATAAAACGAAGATTCTCAGGAGCCAGACTCAGAGCAGGCCTATTGCTCCCTCTCACAGAGGAGTGCTGAATGTGGGTTTCCAAGCCTACACAGTGGTGCCCCTGACGGCTTTGCCTTCGGCTCTCCATGACACTTGACAGCACCTGAGAGGGGAGGGCTTGCAGGACTTGGGGACAGAACAGAGGTGCCAATGGAGGAGATTTGCTTATTTCACTTAAATGAAAGACCTGGGTTTTGGTTATAGAATGTGAGGTTTCATGAAGGGTATGGAGGGAACACCTGGGCTATTCTGGCTTCCTGAATCATGCCACAAAGTCTATTGCTAAGTTCTAAACTGCCCACTATCCTCCGACCCCTAGAGATGGAGAGAGCTGAGCAATTGTGCTGACCGCTGAAATCATTCTGCTGGTGGCTGTTCTAAGAAAAGCAAGTTGACAGAGACCATAAATGTTTCAGTTCCCTTTCAATTCAAGCAACACTTTTCAATAAAGCTAAAATGTGATATCATCCTCAGCATCAAATCAGTAGATTAAATGCTACAAATGAAATTCAAACTATTAAAAAACCTACAAAACATGCGGCTAAGTCTTTGTATGAAGTAATTTATTTCAACATAATGTACAAACCACTCTTGCTCTCGGCAGATATCTCTAATTTGTGCAGAATTTCTTTGTGAGACATAGAAATACAAAGGCACAAGAATGAAAGAAAAAAATTCCAAGCATTAAACTCTTCAATGCTCTGCAAGATTGATTTCCTTTAGTTTAAAAACCTGGCAACAAACTATTGACTTTTCCCAGAAACAAGCAAGGATCAATTAATTTCCTGAGGATATTAGTGATTTTGTTATTTAACATTTTCAAGAGCTAATTATGCATTTGTTGCATAAAACCTTTCTCAATGGTGCCCTGGCCGGTTTGGCTCAGCAGTTAGAGCTTCGGCCTGTGGTCCAGAGAGACCCGGGTTCGGTTCCTGCTAAGGGCACATACCTCGGTTGCAGTTGGTCCCCAGCCCTGGTTGGTCATGAGGGTGGCAGCCACTCGATGTATCACTTTCACGTTGATGTTTCTCTCTCTCTCTCTCTTCCTCCCACTCTATCTGAACAAAAAATGGAAAAATGTCTTCGGGTGAGGATAAAAAAAACAAAAAACCCTTCCCAGTGGTGCAGCGTTGGTTCAGGGCCAAAACATTAGCATGAGCAGAAGACCTGTGTATATGTCTGAACTGGTGCCTGTGGATGAGTTAAGGACATTCTGACCCCGTTCTCGCTGTCTGCTCTCAGGCTGAACTCCTTGAGCCTTGAGGAACCAGCTGAGGATAGCACAGACTGCCACACATGAAGCTCTTACTAAGGAAGCAGTGTAGCGCTTTCATTTGCAAACTTTTATAAATGATTTATAACAATCTTGAGGACCTGATCAGATGCAGAGTTTTAGATAATGTGTCCAAGGTTGCACAACTTTATAGAGTGGAGATGGATTCAAATCTAGGATTTTCACCTTTCTAAGTCTACCTTTTATCACGGGAACTAGAATTGTTCTCATTGTGAACAACATACTGGAATATGTTTCTTTCTTTCTTTCTTTCTTTTTTTGGTGTGTGCCCCTAGCAGGAATTGAACCCGGGACCCTCTCGTCCACAGGCCATTGCTCCAACCGCTGAGCCAAACTGGCCAGGACGTATGTTTTTTAATTATGAATGTTTTTTGAAAAATTTAAATTTCCACAAAATCCTACTCAGATGAGTTTTGTAGGTAAATAATATGTTTTTATATATCTGCTTATAATGTGAACTTTTCCCAGAAAAAAATGTAGAAAGAGACAAACAGAGAATCAAATAAAATATTGTACTGGACTAAATGGCAGGGACACGCAGTATGCCTGGCTCTCTGCCAAGCTGTCTCCAAAAGTCACAGGAATTCCTAGTCAGGTTTATAGACTTCCCAGGTAGTCAGAAATTCAACTGAATGGAAACCTGAATATTTCATTCTATAAAGGCATAAAAACAAGTGAATGAAATGGGATTGCAGAATTTGAGACTGGCAAGTGTCAAGATACGTTGCTCAGCACTTAGAATCAATGCACTCTTAGTGTTTTAAGGGGCTTCCTTATAAACATTCCTTCTGAGAGCTATGCTGTAAGCCATGAGCGACCTAAAGGAACCAGACATTCTGCTGTCTTTCATATACCACAATGAGACCTCTGAGTTACTTTCAGAAAAAGAATGGTTGCAGAAGAGCTCACACAAATTGGCTGTTGTTCAGCAAAAGTTCCTGAGGAATATAGCCCGGGAAGTAGAAAATCGCAGGAGACACATCGTGATGTGGCACACCGCTCTCATGACTCAGTGACTTTTCATCTTTTTCTCAAGCCAAATAGTTCAAAAGATTGCTTGCTGTTATTCCTAGCTGCTGGGACATAGCTCCC